CAGCCCCGAGGACACGCCCCCAGCCCCGAGGACTTGCCCCGAGCCCGGAGGACACGCCCCCGGCCCCCTGGGTCCCTTCTCGCTGGTTTCCTGCGAGAGGCTCTCCTTCCAGCCCGGCCACCCCGCTCACCGAAACTCATCAAAAGGTTGTGCACTTTCCTTTCCCCCAAAATGACATCGCTGGGGGGAGGGGGGAGGCGGGGAGAGACGGCCCACTGAACTCTGCCTGTCTTGAGGTTCAAGGCCCAGTGCTGTGTGCTGGCTCCCAGCGCCCCGCCAGAGCTGATGCCACCCCCCTCCTCCGCCTCACCCCACCCCTGAGCACTTGGGGGTGATGTCTGCTTCCACGTGAATTCTGGGGCCCCGCCCGGCATCGATGTAGTAGAAAATAGTCTCCTGCTACAAGTGGGGCACGGGAGCCACAGGGCAAACGTGAGGGACATGCGGGGAATGACCGCAACCAACTGGGAAGAGTAATGGCTAGCGTAAGTGAGGAGGCAGCAGTGAGACCTGGGGGGAGGGGTCGAGGCAAGCAGCATGGGTGCTGGGGGGAGGGTGCCCTGTGCCTGGGGGGAGGGTGCAGAGTAACAGGAACCAGGGGAAGCACAGACTCCCGGCCAAGCGGCGCGTGGGCGAGTAGCAGCTGCAGGGGAATTCGTCAGATGCAAACTAATAAACAGCACAGCCAGCGGGGAGCCAGGGTCCGCGTGCGGGGACCTGTGGTTGCTGCAGATCCGCACTGTGCTCCAGGAGGCAGGTCCAGGCCCTTCGGGGTTGGGACCCTGAGAGCCCAGGCAGGGTGCCTGCTAACTGGGTCCGAGACCACATTCACTGGCGTCTCCAAAGGCACAGCCCTGTCTTGCCAGAGGCCCAGGGGCCGCGGGGGGGTGGGGGGCCGTCTGGGTCAGGCTGTCCCCTTGGAGGGCCCAGGGTGCCCAGCCGGCAGGAGGGGCTGGTGCCCAGCGGGGGTGGGGGGTGATGGTGCTCCCAGGTGGATCCTCTGGGTGTGAATTCAGATTCTCCTGCTCCCACCTGGGTAACCTGGGAAGCGAGCTGGCTTCTCTCAGCCGGGTTTCCTCACCTGTAGAGCAGGAACGCAACGCGCTCTCATGGCTTATAGTTGGGACTAGAGAGTGAGACGAAATCAGGCCCAACAGCTCTTCTGAGGTGGCAGATAAAGGAATCTCTTACCCTCACTCTCTGGTGACAAATTTTAGACTCAAGACCAAGGACGCATCTCCAAATTTTTACCCAAAAGCCTATTCCTGACACCACTTCTGACCCCAACATAAAAGGCTTCAGAAAAGGAAAAGAAAAAAATGAGCTCATATGGGGCGCAGCTACAGTGTTTTGGCCAGGATCAAGCCTCGGACTAATGAAAGGACAGGGTCCTCTCATTGCCACGTGTAAGTCCCAGCTGGAGGGCAGGACCCTCCCAGAACAATCATAGCCAACGGCTGTGGTTGTAAGCTTGAACCTGTGGTCTGATCACGTGG